GGGGGACTAATGTGATGCGCACGGGTCCCCAACAGTCCTCGAAGCAACGGCTAAAAATACCTGCAAGTGGATGAGCCCGATAATACGCACATTCCCTGAGGATGACTGGACATAGTGGGTCGGAACCGGAAACCTTTGATGTTTTGAGGCACATCAGTTGTGCCCGCCCCTGATTAGAGTTGACATACAAAAGTGATTCCGATACTTCAGTTGGAGTTGACATGGAAAACATGCAGTTGAGTTCACTTGCCGTTAGGTACAGTCAGGTCAGGTCAGGTCGGTTCACAGAACGTAGCGGTGGCGTGCCAATATGTCCAGCTTCTTGCAGTGATGGGATTCGTGGATCTCCTGGTTTTACGAAAACAGCAAGAGAAAAACTCTTCTCAAATTAAACGAATAGTATGAAACCACCAGGAGGGACCCCCTTTGTTGTGCTCAAGTCCCAGAGGTTTTATCAGGTATGATATTGCAACTTGCAGACTCATGGAAAGGCCAGACCACTGGGACTAAGGAGTTGGAGTAATAGGGTAAAAGGTGTTTAAAAGATGGTAGAGTAAGAGATAAGCTCGGAGCCCCTAGGGATGTTGAGGGAGAGATAGAAGGGGTCCGATAAGGTTCTGGCGATCAATGGGAAGTCAGCAATGGTCGTTTTTCGGTCTCTCATCGCCTCGAAGTTCAGTAAAAGATTACTATATGCGAGGTTGACGATTAACATGCGAGTTCTCATCCAATGCACTTCAGAGGCTTTTGAAATAAATAAATAAAATAAGAACCAACCAATCACTGAAACAGTTGTTTAGGTTAACCGGAACGATTACCGAATTATCGATTCAACGTGTCGTTTTAATCGATGGGAAGTGCTTCAGTAAAACAAAAAACGTTTTTTTTTTGCTGAAATGCGGACAACTTGTTGCTGAAAAACCTTGTATCTTAGGAATATGGAACGTTACAGTTTGATAGGTTGGATCATTTGGAGGCTTGATTGAGGCATCAGTAGGTGATCAAAATTGAATAATTATATCCTTATCAGCCGGAAATAGGTGGATAGTTACTTGACTAACTTACCTGCATTGTGACTTTCTGCAACAATAAAGTGCACGAATTCACGCATATTAAGGTTACTTATTCATCTGAACTTATTAAATGTCCCCGTGACCTTCTCCAAACACATCTGACCTATGCTAATCCTTGTAACTCACATTCACTTGATTGAAGTACACTAAAAATGTATGCACTCAACAAGTCAACCTTTTTTATTTAGGGAGTTAGTCTAAGAGTTGAGACTTCAATAGTTGACCGAGAATCAAGGGTGAAATAGCCTTCTCAATCGGAATTTTGTTGCTCTCTCCTTCGTTTAGCAGCTGGTTAAATCACCTTGGTCTACAGGGTCATCTTAGAATTAAGTAATAATAGCTATTCAGAACGCAGAAGGGTTTGTATACTTTGTGTTTCACCTACAAACCCCAACGATCTTTGATCCAAGCTGCCAACAGACGCTAGCTTCCCCTTTTCAGCTGCACATTTTGATTCTCTGTTCAGTTTAAAGATGTATACCTTATCTTCTTTTATTTCAATTCATCACCTGGACCTTTTACCGCCTTTGTAGCTGATGTGGTGTGGAACGTCGAACAATTTGTTTTCCATGATCTGAATCGGAGTAAAGATCAATACAGTGGAACTCATCGACCAATAGAAGAAATAGGCACAAAATACCATGAATGCCTAAAACAGCATAAAGAACGTACATTATACATATGGACATATTCCGGCACGAACAACAAAAAGGGGGTGACGGAATAAAATTTTGCTAAGCACGATAATCCATCCACCCACCCCCTCTCGTTCGCGGAATTTAAAATACGGCAAACATTCTATGTGCTGGTTTCTCTGCTCACTGTTTTGTTTTATATTTGACTAAACTGCCCAAGTGGTATTTTATGACGCTTTTAACCGAAATGGTAACGTGACCTTCACAGTAAGGAGTGTAATTCAGATTATGAATTATTGATGCATTCACTGGTGTGTCACATCGGGATTGGCTTTGCACTGCACTATTCATAAAAGATGTGGAACCGAATGATGGGACCCCAACTGTGTTCTTTCATAGCGAACTTCAGACAGATACAACCACGCACATAAACCGGGCACGGTAACCCCATCCATTTGTTTCACCGTTGCTATTTCACGGTTCTACATTCTTATTTCGGTGCAATAATCGTTATCAAAACGACTTAAAATTGAATCCACATGTAAGGTTTGCTGATGTGTACTTGTGTGTGTGTGTGTGTGTAAGAAAAGCAAAAGTATTTTTTCTTGGTAAAACCGCGATTGAATGCTGTTGTTGTGAAATGCAGCTTATTTTAATTCTGCTTCATTTTGTTGGATAAGTTTTGCTTCAGATTAAACAAAATCCTATGCACATATAAAATCACGCTTGAAGTTCACGTCACCGGATCCTCCTCCAATCAGCACTTATGAGGAGAATGAAAGCAAAGAACCCGGGTACTGTCGTCAGTACATGAAAGTTTTGTATGCCAGGATGCATTCTGAAATGAAAGCTGTTCAGTATATATATGTATATATGTATATATATAATTCAAAAAGTTTACCCACCAGATGTTTTCATCACTTTTAAATAGGGGGTAATTAATTATCTCCTAAGGAGTGAAACCCATACCTAAGACCATCAAGGGTGCCTGGTGACTCTGAACAATCGAGGGGGGGTAATCCAAGCTTTATACTTTAAAAATTGATTGAGCTATTCACACAAGGTGATGAGGTCGGCCGTGTAACTCTAGGGTAGGGTTTTGAAGTCTCAACCGGAATGTTCGCGATTCGAGTCCGGACAGGGACACAAAAAGTACGCACTGATGGCGATCCCCCCACGGCACGAAACAACTGTCCAGTGCTCTTTATTGGTCATCACATACATTTCCATCGCATTTAACTTTATTGGCAGTTTCGCCTGTACAATCTCGTTTTAACAGGAGGCTACCAGAGGGCCTCAAAAAAATAAACATGTAGATCTTTGGCTATTGGTAATCTTCGGATACTGCTCTCGGTAGCCATGGATGGTATAAACGTGTGTGGTTATTACATACTAATCATTTAACTTCTACTGATGATGCTGAACCGAAATCAAGTGGGATTTTATCTTTTCCTTTTCTTCTTTCTACCTTTCCGATAGAAATTTCCAATGAGACTAAACCAATGGCGCTGCAGAGCTACTTTGGTATTCTCGAAACTCATCAACTATGCTCAATGTCGAAACGCCACTTGTCTGGTTGGAAGTCGAAGCCCTCAGCCCTGAACCATAAGGTTGACGGTAAAAAGAGCTGGGGAAAATAGCTCAATCTATTTGCAACATCGTGTTTGGTTTAATCATTTGATTGATCATACATACATCATAATACATCTCGAACAAAAATGATAAAATAGATTTCAATGGTCTTTCTGGGAGTCACTCTGGTTCCTGTTAGGACACTGTTCTCTAGGAAATGCTATACTGTACGCTGAAATTTCGAAGCAGCAGTTTCGAAACAAATCCGTAGCATCAGTTTCAATCACAAACCCAAACTGCATATTCATCAATTTCACTGAAACCTATTACATCAATGAATAGTATATTGAATCGATATCAAAGGAACATTTTCTATACACTGTGATACGCTACAAAGTACACCTATTTCCTTTTTTTGAGATCGCTGTCCACCATACGACACAAATGAAAAACTATTCGATTAATGAACCAAAGCAGTAAATTTTATGTCACAATTGAAAACTTCCTCCGGTGGATATGGTCCCAGTAATTTTCGTATTGTTTTGATCTAACAATTCACCGAAATTCGCATGAACCAGTCTCATAATACATCGGCTGTCCGAGTCCCTACGATTCCCCACAATGCATAGGAAGTACAAGCGGGTAAAATGCAAGCAGACTGTCAGATAAAATACTGTGCTACTATAATCCAGTGTACGAGATGACAGGATACCGATTCGGCCTTCTCACAATTAAGTTTCAAAGAATCTCGTTCCCCTCAAAGCAAAGAAAATTTCAAGCGTGTCTCACCCCCTACCTCGGCGACAGATCTCATGTAACAATCTGTATCGAGTGCGTAATAAACGGTAATTCGCATAGGTCTCGCGAATCAGTCCTTTGTAACATTGAGATTAGCGATATACGAGTCCTACCAACATGTAGATCGATTGATTCTCTCCCCCTCTCCCCCTACCCCCCTAATACACGTCTCTATTGATTTCACCTTCACTTTGTTTTATTTTTTTATTGAAAGCGTTCCACTGATTGTTTGCGCCTACGCTTGTGTCGTTGCCGTCTCGGGTTCACTTTATTCCCGTCCAACTTGTGTTTTTGATCTGTTGAACTTGATTCCAACGGATGTGTTGCGCTGACTAATCTAGGACCGGCTTAATATGTGCTATACAGAATCTGTACACAGGTCTAACAAACAGATACATTGATTATACTTTATAACGGATAAAATAAGACATCTCAGAACAAAGTTCATCTTAATATTAATCAAATGCGAGCAATAAATTCAAAGTACCAGATATTTAAAGCTCAACTCAAAATATCCTCTAATTCGACGTTACACTTCGACAAGTCACATTAGCCATTAACTATCCCGAAAAAGCTTTACTATACATGAGATTCCCACTAACGGGATACGCAACCTCGAAGGAAGAGACCGATTTAATACAGTCAGGTGCTTGTGATGGAGCCAAATAGCTTATAAACCCGCTAAAGTTTTACGTTACATGCATTGAATTTTCCTTGCTTGCAGAAATGAAATACCACAATCTTTTCCCCTTTCTATGAACACTTTAATGTCATTTATGCTAGAGCTTGATTGTGCTAACAATGGGACAAACAATGGACCACAATATGTAATATATTTATGAGCAGTTCGATTGTGCACTCAGCATCAACCTAAATGACTTGAGGTAATAGTATGGCGTCCTAATCGATTTTACAATTTGACTCACCGATATTGGGCACTTTCCCGGTTGATCTCCTGTTGTTCCCACGCATTTTGCGCGCGACCAAGAAAAAATACCGTGGCCAAACGTTCACCCCCGACACGTTTTAGCGAACCCCAAGTAGATCGGATCAGATCACGTCGATGACGACTTTTTGTGTGTGAATGAACTGCAATCAGATAGCGAACTTGGGGACGCTCATCGCAGAACTCCGGTCGATCGATGATAAATGGACTCGATTCCAAGGCTTTTGGCCGGCTACGATTGACCGTTGCACACAGACCATGTATGTTGCGAAAAGTACTTGTTTTGATTCCCCAAAATTTTTGATGTTGTTCTTCAAGGTCACGAAATTGTTTAGGCCATGTCAATATTGATTTTCTAAATTGACTTTCCAAAACTCTGGGATATTTCAGGGTTTTCATTTGAACCTCATGCGGTCTTCTGCGTAAACTGGTTTCTACCGATTGGAATCCGGGGGAAACCAAGATCACGAGTAACATCAAATTATTCAAGTACAATCCGTTCGGAACCATAATTCGGCCGAGGGCAAGACCGAATCTTGATTGCCGTGTGCTTGCTTTCACTTGTGTTGTCCGAGAGAAACACTGAGCTAGTAAGTAGATCGTTGTCAAGACAGGTGTTGTTTTCTGTCATGGTACACACACACAATTCTGTCATCGTCGTTATGGTTAAGCCAGTGTGGTTCATGTTTCCACCAATCAGGGAACAGATCAGACATGTGCTAATCAGACCGTGATGGCGATGATGACGGTGGTCGAATCGTTGAATCAATTAACCGACCCATGTACAAACTATTGAGTGTGCACACAATCTGAGCTTAGACGTATACATTGACCCTATGATTGTTTGCTTTTCTTTGCTGTGTGTTGGACTGGCACAGATTAGCTCAGTTGTGAACGACACATGAACTTTGGTACTCATATCTCCCTCGATTAAACAGTCCTTCCCCCCCCTCCCCTCACCAACGTATAACCCTGTTCTGGCTTGAGTCCAATGACAAGCAGTTACTCTCCTAAACAAAATAATGATGCATTGATATGGGAACACTTTGATTGTTCACGGCGATTGCTCTGATGTGTGATGTGTGTCACGTGGTTGATTGTGATGAGGTCTGTGAATCCTCTTTGTTATTTTATACGTGCTGACTTAGTGAGTAGAGTGTTCTGATATTATCGACGAAAAATCGCTACGGACCAGTAAGAGTTACTCGTGTACGGCCTGTGATCTTGGCGGTGGTGACCGAGTGGTGGGGGTCACGACGTGTGTTGGAATTCCATCATCATCACCATCTGACATTCCCCATTCTGTGTGACGTATAGCAACCCTCTGCCTGAACGCGTCTCCCATTCTAAAAATTGTATTATTATACATTCAATAGAAAGAAGTATGAATGAGAAGAAAAGAGGTAATCAATAAGATGCATTAATTTATGCCTCATCAATCTGGATTGAAGACGGCTAGCTAAATTGAGCCCAGTGCATTCGTCTGTAAAAACCATATTCCTAACTGCTCGTTACTGTGGTTATTTCCAGTTGAACTTTCGCAATTGCATCATCAATCACAAATAGATTTTGACGTATCTTAGGTAGCATTATTCTCTCTCACCAGTTCACAATTTTGGTCAACACACTTGGATCCACACCCAACTTTCTTTGCTGCTATCCTTTACTGGCTCCCTACCAATCCATAGTTTCAGCATCAACTACTGCCAGTCTTCCCACGCTCGACTGTTCGCTCCTGTTACCTTCATTGTCTGGACCGAATTCCAATCAATAGATTTATTTGAGCCCCTGATGGTCTGAGCCTACGCTGTGACCGTTTTTCTCCTTCTCTGTGCATATTTAATTCTAAAACCCAACATTTAGCTATGAACGGCTACTTCAGAAAGTGTTCTCTGTCGTTTTTCTGGTATGACGCATTCAGACGAATTCACGAGCAATTCGGACTGTGAATGAATCCTGGAATGATTTCTGACATTCTTATATGTGGTGGCTTCGACCGGCACCGTAACATTATCGAGAGTTACCGCTATCTCTGGCCTCTGTGTTTCACATGCAGTCTTGTTTGCACGGTAGCAGTCACTGGTTGCACGGGGATTCATTCCTGCTCTTCTCAGCTTTTCTGCCATGTATTCCACCTGGATCAGTGGTATCCTGATATTGCTTCTTTAGCTTCTTTAGGTTTTTCAAGGTGGTTTATGTCAATACCACCTTCGGTGAAGTTTGTTCACTTCGAACAGGGATTGAATTCAGTCCCGGGTAGCACACTCGGCCATCCTTTGAGTGTTCCCCCCAGAGGACACTCACACAATCTCTGTGGACTCATCTTTATACAGTTTGATATTGCAATAATTTCCTTTTTATTCAAACATTTTCATTCATTTTCTTCCATCCAGTAAAGAACTTTCCGGCAAGGATTGATGCTTGATGTTCAAAGTATTTCGTCTTCAGCTACATCCTTGCAAACATTGATTGGAGTAATCATAGTCCATTTGTAGTGTTTGTTCAAAACAGTACTATTTATCCTGGTGTGATGATTGCTCATGAACTATGAACTCTTTTGTTTTATTGAACATGATATCCTTGTACATACCGAATTTTCGCTTATTACAATTCCATTCTGATTTCGTTTCGAGTCCTAGTTCTGCGTTGGAGTATCACTGCGCGGAATCCGATACGTATACCAATTACTAGTCCGAGTACGAACCACAACAACTGGTGTCGCGGTCGTTTTAAACCAATGGCGTCCTGTAATTTGGAGAACTTGAATATACATGCCAGTGCGCGCGAAGTCGAAGACTATCTTGAACGATTCGAGATTTGATGTATTACGCGGAAGGGACTCGATGGAGAACGCAAATTGGCTTATTTCTTAACGGTCATCGGAAAGGATGTATACTTACTGTTGAAGAATTTGGCATTTCCTGACTCTCCTATATCGTTGTCGTACGAATCCCCAGAAACCTTGCTGCTGAAGCATCTACAGCCGGCTTATTTCGAGGCCGCTGAACGAGCCAAATTTCATTTACTCACACGTGGTGGAAGCCAACCTGTACGTGACTTTATTCTTCAGCTTCAGACTCAAGCATCTCGTTGCAACTTCGGAGATCAATTGAAAACCCAGCTACGTGATCGATTAGTTGCCGGTATTAATTACCCAGCAAAGGCTCCTGCTCATGCACGATTGCGCATTTCAGTTGGCTACGGCAGTCTGTGAACAGTACCAAGACGTCCGTGCCATTATTTGTGATGAATCCAACTCGTTGTTCAATGCCAGCAATTCCAAACAGTCCCTATCCCGACGAAAGCGGTTTTTCGAAAAGGGTTCGAAAACACCAAGCAACATCAGTTCTCCGGCCCACGATGACCAACGGATTCAAAGATGGAACAAGTGCCATTCCTGTGGTCAAAGACATTCGCGGCTATCCTGTAAATTTCGAAATACCAAGTGTTACANTGTAAAAGTGCTAAGTCGTATCTTACAAAACGTACGACTGTTCGTTCCTTTAAAGATTTATTGTGTGATTTACAGTCCTTAACTCTAGCCAGTACCATTTCACGTCCCTCTCGTCACATTACTCGCGACTTCATCATTAATGACTCCATTTGCCATTCCTTCATTATTGACACCGGCAGTGTTGATTCTTTCATTTCCAACAAGGTATTTCGTCAGTTAAACCCCCCAGTTGCACTTTCCCCAACAGACATTTTAGTTAGGGGAATTACCGGTCATTCTTTGTCCGTCTTAGGATCATGCGAACCGCTTCTCAAAGACGATAAATCACAAACATTTCACTGCCCGTTTTTGGTTATTGATTCCGACATTTCGATAATTGGTTTGAATTGTATGAATCGTATGCATCTGTCATTTTCATTCATGTCTGACTCCCATCAATCTCGCCTTCGTTACTTAGTACTTGAATGTCCCAAGGCAAAGGGTGGTATCAAAATGACTCCTGTGAGTCTCGAACTGACCCGTTCTCCGGTGTTTATGAAGCGTCGGATTATGCCAATTGGACTTCGTGAGCCCGTAAAAAAGGCGTTAGATGAAATGGTAAGCAAGGGAGTTCTGACATGCGTAAATTCTCCGGCTTGGGCCACACCAATTGTTACTCCATTAAAACGTGACGGGGAGACTCCTAGGATATGTGGGGATTATCGAGTTACCGTGAACGGACACCTGAAACAGTTTAGTTGTGCCACCGTCGAACCGGAAGACATTCTGCATCAAATTCATGCATCCAAATTTTTCTCTATTCTAGACCTAAAAAATGCATTTCTTCAAATACCTGTGGTGATCGTGTATAAACTGAACATTCTTGTTTCTTTACATGATCGACTGCTTTGTACAATGTCGGTGCGTAATACGGTCCGACTTCGAATATTCTGGAGTTCTATTTCATACTGCGTACTAGTTCGGTTGGAGCTTAATTGCGCGGATTATTGCGATTCGATTCCTGATACCAAGTACAGACTTCCACAGTTGGCGTCGCGGCCGGTTTTTATCTCATTATGGACACCTGCAACTTGGAAATTCTTGATATTCATTCGATTTCACGTAATGTGGAAGACTATTTGGAGCGTTTTGAGATTTGGTGTCTCAACCGCAAGAGTCTGGATGCCGAGAAGAAGACAGCACATTTTCTATCAGCTGTTGGAAAGGAAGCTTATGCACTGATTAAAAATTTGGCGTTCCCAGAGTCACCAATACAACGGAAGTACGAAGAACTGAAGGATCTGTTACTAAAGCATTTGCAGCCAGTCAACTTCGAAGCGGCTGAGCGAGCGAAATTCCATTGCCTTGCTCGTGATCTAATCAGGCTGTCCAAGACTTCATTCTTCAGCTGCAGACCCAGGCTCCGCGCTGTAATTTCAAATATCAGCTTCAAACTCAGCTCCGTGATAGACTCATTGCTGGAATTAACTGTTCTGAGCTATAGCAGCAANACCGCAAAGGTGGTCTGTGAACAATATCAGGATGTACGTGCGGCCGTACGTGAGGAGCCGAAAGTATTGTTCAGTCACAATCGTGGGTCAGCGCTTGAAGCTCAACGGAGGCGGCAGTTCAAAATTGTCAACGAAGCTGTTAATCACAGTCCGACGTCCACACAACCTGCAAGTAAAAACATCCGCCACTGGAACCCTTGCAAATCATGCGGTAGGCGACACTCTCGACTGACTTGTAAGTTTTGCAATGCCAAGTGCCACAAGTGTGGTAAGTCTGGGCACCTCTAGTCTGTTTGTCGAAGCACACATAACTGTTTGACACAGAACTTAGTCCCTGATGCATGCTTGTCTGCCGACTTTCAGTCTCTTGCTTTATCCGTTAACAGTTCCAACCAGTCTCAACACATTACTCGTAGCTTCACAGTCAATCATTGTTTTCGTCATTCATTCATCATAGACACAGGTAGTGTGAATTCGTTTATTTCAAAGACTGATCTTCAGCGTTTGAAACCACGTGTGTATCTAAGCCCCACTGACATTTCGGTTAAAGGTATAACTGATCATAACCTTCCTGTTTTGTGTCCGTGCGAACTACTCCTTACTGACGATGAACAGCACACATTCAGTTGTTTCTTTCTTGTTACTGAGTCCTACATTTCTATTATCGGCCTGGATTCTATGAAACGCATGAAAATTTCTCTTTCATTTTTTACTGATGATCAACAGTC